GACTGGGTGAAATCCCTCACGTCCCAAATTTTAACGTCAGCATACTAAACGTCCCACCCCGCTCCTCCCCTCACTTCAGATTCTTACTGCTCATCGCAGTCTTGCTTGCTCTTACCCCTCCACCTTTAACGTCACCGCGCTGAACGTACCACACAACACCTCCCCACCCTACTAGCAGTATGTCTCAATCTTGCACGCCCCAACCTTAGCGTAACGATGCTAAACATTCCCTGTTTTCACATTCCTATCATTCATGTTCCCACTCTGCTCATCCCCAATATAAATGTGCCCAATTTGCTCTTTTTACCTTGCATGCTCTCCTCTTGCCGTGTCCACCCTGCATATTTTCCCCTAATACATAGGGTTACAAAATCGCAACCTGTCAGGCCAGGAGTTAATCTCCCAACCGAACAGTGACCTGTTTAGGTGACTTGTAACAAGAAGTAGTGAGTCTCCCGAGTGAATGAGCACTATCATTTCAGTCTTTTCATTAACTATAAAGAAGAGAGAAGAAAAATGCATTTAATAATTTAGTGAAATATTTTAGTAAGCATGAATGTCTAGGTATAAATCATACTAAACGGTTATAGACGCTTCCACCTAGGTAACATACAAAGGTTGGACTAAGTTATAAAAATAAAAAGATCAGTCGAAAAACAATAACATTACCAGTCTAACGGAGCCAAGAATTTATATGTCAAAAATGTAAATCAATAAGACTCGCGAAATCGTAATGACACGATTGCAAACAAACCATACCCCGGCCGGGATTGAACCCGCGGTCATAGTCTCAAAACTCCAGCCAGTGGAGTTTTGAGACTCTATGACCGCGGGTTCAATCCCGGCCGGGGTATGGTTGGTTTACACCAATAAGGTGTGTAGAGAAGATACAAAGGTTGTATCAGGAGCCAGAAATTCAGAGACCGGCTTACACCGGCAGTCCTTCTCGAGGACTAACTTACGCGGCCTGTAGCGGAAAGCAGGATGTCAGGAGCAAGTTTAGGTACACCTGCTCAGGGACTGGCTTACACGTGGCACAAGACAGTACGTTAGGGACAACCTTAGATACTTTTATTCGACTGGCTTAGATGTGGCAGAGATCAGTATGTCAAGGGCCAGATCAGACACTAGCTTTCACATGGCAGAAGCCAGTATGTCAGAAGTAAAAGAATAGAATAAAATATATCAACACTTACATACAAAACCCATCTCCAAGGCTAAAATACAAGTTCCATGGTAGAAACATCACAGTTAAACACAGCTAACTTACAATATAAAACCAACGGTAATTTTTTTATATAAATACTTCTCCTTTTAAATTCAGTAATATATACAGGAGAAGGGGTTACTAGGCCCTTGCTCCCGGCATTTTAGTTACCGCTTACGACACGCATGGCTCACGGAGGAAGAAATCTGTTCTACTTCCCCATGGAGATAAGAGGAAATAAACAAGAACAAGAACTAGTAAGGAAACAGAAGAAAACCCAGAGGGGCGTGTGTATACATATATGCATGTCTATGCATGTGTAGTGTGACCTAAGTATAAACAGAAGTAGCAAGACGTACCTGAAATCTTACATGTTTGACAGAAAAAAGACACCAGCAATCCTACCATCATGTAAAACAATTTCAGGCTTCCGTTTCACACTCACTTGGCAGTACGGTAGTACCTCCCTGGGCGGTTGCTGTCTACCAACCTACTACCTAGGTAACAAATACACCTCCCACAAATTTAACAAGTATGCAGAGTGTCAGGACGGGCATTAGTGCGAGTTGCTTAGTGTTATTGCAAGATGCAGCAAGGTTAGGCCTGTAACCCAAGGAGTGGACACACTGCCAGCTACCCATTGGAAAGCTACGAGCAAAGAACCTGTCGCTTGGAGCCAATACCACTAATTGTTACATAATGAGATCATTACATGTAGAGCCCTTCCTCCCCTAACACAAACATTAAATGCCTAGATGACTTGTTATAATACTGAATTGAAATGTGTACAAGACACTCTTCACTAACAATATATGAATATATACCAATATACTAAAAATTTACCTATATTTTCTGGTACTTACAGAGGAAATATCGCGCACATCGTGATACTACAATGTAAAGTGATGATGTACGTAACAGTCACCGCTTTTAATACCCACACTCTTTACACCCTAAATGCCTTTCTTCACCTCATACATACCTATTTAGCATGTACCTATCCTGGACGTCCACATCCTATACCATTCTACCCTACAGGTCCTCGCTCTGCTCATCAACACCTTGTACATTACCGCCCTACACCTCTCAAATCTGCACACCTTCACCTTGCACGGTTCCAATCTGAACGTCTCCACCTTGCACGTCCTCATCATGCCCGCCTCCACTTTGCATATCCCCACTCTGCACATCCCCAGCCTATACGTCACTAACCTTCATTCCCAACCCTCAACTCTACACCCTGCATGTCCCCAACTCCCACATATTCAAAGTTAGAAAATGTGTTACCTAACACAAATAGTTGCCGATAAGTAAGCAGATTGTTGTGGGTCGCATCCTGGTTGAGGACCAAGAAAAACATACCTTAGTGGGAATAGACTGCACTGCTTCGACTTTCTTGGGTTATTCAGCACGTCTCCAACTCACACGTCTCTACTTTACACGACTCCCTCAAAATGTTACCCCCATGTACGAACGTCCCCATCTTGCAAGGCATTATATTATACTTCCCCACTCATAGCCCACTCACCCTGCGTAGTCCCATCCTACAGTCCCTAATCAGCACGGCCCCAATACTACACGTCTCTACTCTTCATGTTTCTACCTTGCATGTCTTCACCCTCTTACTCCCCATTCTGCATGTACATTCTGTCCATGTTTCCACCCAGTACAACAGTACCATTTACGTTCCTACTTTATACATACCCATTCTGCATGCCCTTACCCTGCACGTTTCTGCTCTGAATGTCTCAATCCTTTACGTTTCCACCCTACACACGTCCTCACTTGACACATAAGAACATAAGAAATGAGGAACACTGCAGCAGGCCTGTTGGCCCATACTAGGCAGGTCCTTTAAAATTCATCCCACTAACAAAACATTTGCCCAACCCAATGCTACCCAAGAAATAAGCTCTGATGTGCAAGTCCCACTCAAATCCAACCCCTCTCACTCGTGTATTTATCCAACCTAAATTTGAAACTACCCAAAGTCCTAGCCTCAATAACCCAACTAGGTAGACTGTTCCACTCATCAACTACCCTATTTCCAAACCAATACTTTCCTATGTCCTTTCTAAATCTAAACTTGTCTAATTTAAATCCATTACTGCGGGTTCTCTCTTGGAGAGAGATCCTCAAGACCTTATTAATATCCCCTTTATTAATACCTATCTTCCACTTATACACTTCGATCATGTCTCCCCTCATTCTTCGTCTAACAAGTGAATGTAATTTAAGAGTCTTCAATCTTTCTTCATAAGGAAGATTTCTAATGCTATGTATTAATTTAGTCATTCTACGCTGAATATTTTCTAACGAATTTATGTCCATTCTGTAATATGGAGACCAAAATTGAGCTGCATAATCTAGGTGAGGCCTTACTAATGATGTATAAAGCTGCAGTATAACCTCTGGACTTCCGTTGCTTACACTTCTTGATATAAATCCCAATATTCTATTTGCCTTATTACGTACGCTTAGGCATTGCTGTCTTGGTTTAAGGTTGCTGCTCACCATAACCCCTAAGTCCTTTTCGCAACACTCCTCTGACTGGCACGTTCTCTTCTTGCACTACCGTCCACGTCCCCAGTCATGCGCGTCCCTAGCCATGCACATCGCTATTATCTAAATTTTCGTACGCTGCAGTCTACTCTGCATGACCCAAAGTTATACTATGTACATTGCTAAACTGCACATCCTGAACCTGAGCAACCATATCGGACATGTTTCCATTCTGCATATATCTACTCTGCACGTTTCCATCCTCCACGACCCTTTCTACAAGTTACTATTCTGCACGTCCCTGCCCTACACGTCTCCACCCACCCACGTCTCTATCGTGCACATCCAACATTAGACGTCCCCATCCTGCACGCTCTCTTCGTCTCCCGTTAATATCCTGCTATTCCTAAACCATTACGTACTCACCTCTACAGCCTGCACTTATCTACCCTGCACATCCCTACACAACATGTCTATACCCTACCCGCCCCCTTCCAACACATCGTTACCTTACACGTTACAATTCTACACGTCCCTACACTTAACGCATTATACTGTATGTCACTACTCTACACTTCCCCACCTTACATATCCCATCCCTTTATATCTCTGTTCTCTTCGTCCTTACCCTACACGTCCCTACTTCACAAGTCTTCATTTTGGACGACCCCATTCTACTCGTCCCGACCTTACACGTCCCGTCCTTCATGTCCCTACCCTACATGTCACCAACCTCACGTCCTCGTACTGTAAGTCATCATCCTTTCTGTCCCTGTGACGCACGTCTCCACATTACACGTCCTCACAGTGCGCTCACCCACACTGAATGTTCCCACCGTGCACGTCTCCAGAGCACACGTCATCGTCCCCTACGACCTCGCTGTGCGTACACCCACTCGCTCAACATTCCATCCTGAAAATTCCCACCATACACGCCTCTACTCTAGAATATCCCATTGACTTGTACGTCACCACCCTGTAGGTCCTCAAAATGTACGTTACTACCCTACTCAACACGTCTCTAATTAACACTTCGCATTCTTTCACGTTCCAATCCTGCACGTCCCTTTACACCAGATTTCCAACTTGCACTTAACCACCCTGCACATCTTCAAGGTGAACGTCCCGCATCCTGTGCGTTCTTGTCTTTCAAATTCTAATCATCCCTACCTTGCACGTCACCACCTTATACATTCCATTGGAATGTGTCATCCATACACGTCCCACCTTGCACCATGCTGTCACGCAAATGCAGTAGTTCATAGCTTCATCTTATCTCTTGTGACTGCAGACGGGTCGCCTCTTGAGCACCTGAAGGGGCTGGAGGTACTGGACCTGAGCAGTAATATGGGTCTGTCGCCAGCTGAGTTGGAAACGCTGCTGCAGCCCCTAGCAGGCGGATATCTACGGGAACTTTACCTCAGCAACAGCAACTACGCCAGCGTGCCCACCGCGGCCCTCGCACTGGTGCGTATCTACCTCTCTCCTGCAGTATAACCACAGCAGCAGAGTACTTATACTGCAGGGGTTATACTGTGGAGTGGTTATATTGTAAGGGAATATGTGTAATTTTGTGGCGTGTGATGCGATGAAAGGTTGGGACTAGCTGTTTAATCAGAAATTACCTCTTGATGAATAATTTTATGGTGTCACTATCATGCGTGGTGTGCATTATTGGTGACCATCAAAATGAACTTCAGTGAATTTCATAAAGTTTTCAGTCTCATTTTAAAAATGCTTAAATCTAAAACAGTAGTCCTAACATCATTTACTCAAAAAGTTAATAATTTCTAAGGTATTTTTATATTTATAGTATTAAACTTGTGTTCTCTCCTCAGTATGTTCCACATGAATCCAAAATGAATCATTTTATTGATGGTATTCAATATTATTGTAGCATAGCTGAGTATCATAATTAGTACCATCCAAATGTATTATATAGACGACCCCTTGCTAGACTTAGCGGCTAACATATGACGTCACACCGTGCCGCTTGTGGGCGGGAGTCACCATGTTCCTCTCTCATTCCCGGATAGACCTACAGGCAGTTATAGGCAGGCTGGGCCATTCCCCTCACAAGTCTGCTAATATAAATATAAATACAACCTAACAAGTGTGTGTATCTCCAACCATCATATCTCCACGGAACCCTCCCAACAAATGGTGGCAGCGGTGGGATCAGCAACTATGCTGACACTGCCAAACTGAAGAATAATACATTTCCAACACTTTGATATCTTTATTTTCCGAAACGTTTCTTCTGCACAGCAAGCTTCTTTATTCAAATGAAGGTGAATACACTGGTAGTAGTAGTAGTTTCGACTTGATCAGTCCGTCACCCTCGGTGGGAGGTGATCAGTCCCTCAAGCTTAAAGCACAGGCATGCAGCCAAAAGCGAGACGAAGCAGCTGGAGCTCACACTACAGGTGAGCGTTACAACTGGAAGGAGGTTATACTAATCAATCGTTTAGCGAAGGAGTTGCAGAAGACTTCCCCTGTACCTATCATGGTGTTGCTGAGTTAAACAAGTATATTATTGATATTAAATGGAAACAAATTGAAGAATAAGACATTTGCATTATTTGGGTATCTATTTGTTGAAACGTTTTACTTACATAATAGGATTCTTCAGTCGAATACAGCTAAATGCACTGGAAAAGTAGTAGTACCTTGGGCGTGATCAGTCGGTCACCCTCTGTATACAACGCTCATTTGTTACGTTAACTTAAGGTTCTTCCTCTCACTTCTACTCTGGTGAAAGGGGTCTGGCAACATGCCAGTGGTTTAGGTTTGAAGAACTGACTGTCTTCCACCGAGGTTGACAGATTGATCACCACGAAACTTTCGCTCATAACTCTTAACGCCTAATTCAATCGCCTTCAAAATTTCAACACTTATATGTGGTAATCGGAGCCAAATTTTTTGTCATAAGGCCTGCTCACGTGCCTTATGACAAGAGTTGTTGAATTCATACCTAGCTTTGTAGAATGGCTAACATAACCTTCAAAACCTTCAACAAAAAATATGTACCAAAAAAAAAATCGACGATGGCAGTGTAAAATCTAAATGTGTAAGTGGACTTGACCATTTTATGAGTAAAATAACACGAAAGTTTAATAGCCATTAAATCATGTTAAATAATTTTCACTGAATAGCTTCAGTTTTTAATAACTGATTCATCTTAGGGTCATGCTAATGCCTATTTAGTTTGCGTATTGGAATTTCTTTTTATGTAAAATAGTAGTAACAACTTTGAATCGTTTGAATCCGTGTCGTAACTGGACAATGACTCGTCAGCTACAAATGTTCACCACTGGTGTAGTTTCCTAACACAAGGCTACGCTCAATTTACCCATTTTATTGAGCAGTAATATTTTTCAATAACTAAAGAATGCTTCTGATTGGCTTCAAAATAATAATGCTGCATTCTATAAGGGTGAAAAACCACAAAAACACTTCAAGAACCTGCAGTTGAATGAATCAGATCTAATCCAGAGAATTTTTTTTTTTTTTTTTTTTTTTTTTTTTTTTTTTTTTTTTTTTTTTTTTTTTTTTTTTTTTTTGTTGTTTGTCCCACTACTGAGGTATTTTTTAAACAATTTGTCACTCACATGGAGCTATGCGAATTTCAGTTTGTCAACTATAGTAAGAAAATTGTTGCAAATGTCATAACTAGAGAATGTGTCTCCTGATCGTGTATATTAATTGGAAGTATTTCCATATTAATTTTGAGCTGTGTGGGTGCATTTTGTGATCATTTTACACTCCCCAAGTCAAAATATTTTTCCTTGGGAGTGGTGCAGAATTTTAAAAAGAATATAAATTTGAATAGAATACTGCCAAAAAATACTGCAAAAAAAAAAAAAAAAAAAAAAACAGCCTGAGCTTGCCACCATCTGCAGCTCATAAGACTGAAATCCCCACGAGCCCTTTTAGGGCGGGGTAGATGGCAGACCAGAGGCCTAGCTTCTCCCTACGAGCCCCGTGAGGGCGGGGAATGTGGCTAGGCCTGGGGACAGTTGGTCCCAAAGATGAGGGGGTACTTGTACCTCCTCCCATGGGAGACTTAAGTCTCTAGACACTCCCCAGATAGGGAGCCAAGGCCGGGTCACCACTACTTGGAAAAGACCCGGGCCGGGAGAGTACCGGCGAAAAAAAAAAAAATAAAAAATAAAAAAAAATAAATATCAGAAGTTTTATAGACTGTTGTGTGACTTAAATCACCACCAAAGATGTAAACCAAACGAAATGTAAACTGTCACACCTTGCGTCATTATGTACTGGAATGCGATAAAATTAATGAATTCAGAGACAACTCACTCAGAAATATTGATGAAATACCAACGTGGCCTGTGAGGCAATGCTCTCGCTTCACACGCTGAGGGTCCGCGGTACGATTCCCGGCAAGGGTGGAAGCGTTAGGCGCGTTTCCTTACATCTTTTGTCCCTGTTCACCCATCAGTAAAATGGGTACCTGGGTGTTAGTCGACTGGTGTGGGTCGCATCCTGGGACAAAATTGACCTAATTTGCCCAAAATACTCTGCATAACAAGGGGCTTTCTATACATTAGTATGTCATTGATGTTAACTAGGCCTGCATACCTTGTACTTGTAGTAAATAAAGATATTATTATATTATGATTATTATGAGTGTATTTTAACAACAGTGGTGACTGTGTTACAAACCATTCTAAAAAAAAATACCCTGACTTTGTTCAATGTAAATAAAGCATTACCTCTCTTTTTTTTTTTTGTGTGTGTGTGTGCGCGTGTGCGTGTGCGTTGTGTGTGTGTGTGTGTGTGTGTGTGTGTGTGTACTCACCTAGTTGAGGTTGCGGGAGTCGAGTCCGAGCTCCTGGCCCCGCCTCTTCACTGGTCGCTACTAGGTCACTCTCCCTGAACCGTGAGCTTTATCATACCTCTGCTTAAAGCTATGTATGGATCCTGCCTCCACTACATCGCTTCCCAAACTATTCCACTTACTGACTTCTCTGTGGCTGAAGAAATACTTCCTAACATCCCTGTGATTCATCTGTGTCTTTAACTTCCAACTGTGTCCCCTTGTTACTGTGTCTAATCTCTGGAACATCCTGTCTTTGTCCACCTTGTCAATTCCTCTCAGTATTTTGTATGTCGATATCATGTCCCCCCTATCTCTCCTGTCCTCCAGTGTCGTCAGGTTGATTTCCCTTAACCTCTCCTCGTAGGACATACCTCTTAGCTCTGGGGACTAGTCTTGTTGCAAACCTTTGCACTTCTCTAGTTTCTTTACGTGCTTGGCTAGGTGTGGGTTCCAAACTGGTGCCGCATACTCCAATATGGGCCTAACGTACACGGTGTACAGGGTCCTGAACGATTTCTTAATAAGATGTCGGAATGCTGTTCTGAGGTTTGCTAGGCGCCCATATGCTGCAGCAGTTATTTGGTTGATGTGCGCTTCAGGAGATGTGCCTGGTGTTATACTCACCCCAAGATCTTTTTCCTTGAATGAGGTTTGTAGTCTCTGGCCCCCTAGACTGTACTCAGTCTGCGGTCTTCTTTGCCCTTCCCCAATCTTCATGACTTTGCACTTGGTGGGATTGAACTCCAGGAGCCAATTGCTGGACTAGGTCTGCAGCCTGTCCAGATCCCTTTGTAGTTCTGCCTGGTCTTCGATCGAGTGAATTCTTCTCATCAACTTCACGTCATCTGCAAACAGGGACACCTCAGAGTCTATTCCTTCCGTCATGTCGTTCACAATACCAGAAACAGCACTGGTCCTTGGACTGACCCCTGTGGGACCCGCTGGTCACAGGTGCCCACTCTGACACCTCGCCACGTACCATGACTCGCTGCTGTCTTCCTGACAAGTATTCCCTGATCCATTGTAGTGCCTTCCCTGTTATCCTGCTTGGTCCTCCAGTTTTTGCACCAATCTCTTGTGTGGAACGTGTCAAACGCCTTCTTGCAGTCCAAGAATATGCAATCCACCCACCCCTCTCTCTCTTGTCTTACTGCTGTCACCATGTCATAGAACTCCAGTAGGTTTGTGACACAGGATTTTCCGTCCCTGAAACCATGTTGGCTGCTGTTGATGAGATCATTCCTTTCTAGGTGTTCGACCACTCTTCTCCTGGTAATCTTCTCCATGATTTTGCATACTATACATGTCAGTGACACTGGTCTGTAGTTCAATGCTTCATGTCTGTCTCCTTTTTAAAAGATTGGGACTACATTTGCTGTCTTCCATGCCTCAGGCAATCTCCCTGTTTCGATAGATGTATTGAATATTGTTGTTAGGGGTACACATAGCGCCTCTGCTCCCTCTCTCAATACCCATGGGGAGATGTTATCTCGCCCCATTGCCTTTGAGGTATCTAGCTCACTCAGAAGCCTCTTCACTTCTTCCTCGGTTGTGTGCACTGTGTCCAGCACATGGTGGTGTGCCCCACCTCTCAGTCTTTCTGGAGCCCCTTCTGTCTCCTCTG